TGAATAAATGAAAAATCATGCATATGCTGACATATATTAATACATGTTAATAGGGTCATTATCTCTGTCACTATATGCTCATGTGTGAATGTGTAGTCATGTGGCCTTGTGGATTGGTGACTAAACGCAGTTGCAGAGACCGTGTCTCACTCAAAACCTTTTTAAATATAAAGCCATGGTTATTAATCTTTCATTTTGCCCTGTCTGAGTTTGTATCCAGGGAGACCATACATAAAGCTCTCCCTCCTTTTCTATCTGATATATATATATATATATAAAACACATGCCGAACAAAATGAATAGAAGAGGTATAAGTATTCCTGTTCCTATGAAGCTTAAGTATTTTTTAGCTTCATGAACTGCATAAAAGGCTAACTTTTAATGAACAATAAATAATATACGAACACATTTCTTGTCCTAACCTGAAATGTTCTCACTGTGCTTTCATGCAGAATTTGTTCCATACTTACTTGACAGAGAACAAGTAGATTGCCAGGTAGATCACATGAGCTGTCCAAATGGAATATGATAATGTTTCCATAAAAAAAAAAAACTCACAGGTTTAGCCATTACACTCTATTTTCTCCCCCTCCATCTTCTTCCTCACCTCTTTACCTTTTTCAATACTTCTTGCTTTCACTCTCTGTAGTCCCCCACCCCCCACCCCCATGGCGCTTCAGTAATAGGAGACTTGAAATCAATAGCACATTAGTCTGGCCGGAAACTCTTTTGGAATTAAATATGAATGACTGAGATTGCAGCTCTACCTGCTGCTGAGATAGATGCATGATGGCTCTTGGGGATGTGGTACCTCCCCACCCATTCCTCCTTCAGCAAACAGTCGAGCCATTTTGTACTGTTGCTACTGTTTACCACATCACTAGGCTACCTTGTTTTGTTGGCAATCAGTGTATTGTTTGGGTTGTCATTTTGTCCTCGGCACTGAACAGTGACCAGTCCAATAGCATAATTTGATAAAGCAAATGGGATCATGAACGTCACAAAGCCGCGACAGCTCGGGAGGCAAGAAGCATCAACCGGCCACACCCATCCTCCAAACACAGCAGCAGCACCATTTGAATATGAAAGAGCTCTGTGGTTATTAACAGATTGCATCTTACATTTTTCATTATTTCCTCCAAATACAATATGTGCTTTTTCTTTCATTAAGGTTTCAGAATTGCAGCTCTCTATGCTGATGCTGGAACTTTTTATATGTAAATGCTGTTACTTGTGAGTCTTCCATTTTCATTAACTGGTTCACTGTGTAAAGTTGAATAATTTCTTTTAACATGCTGTTTGGCTTAAAAGCATAATTTGCAAGGTGGTTGGAGAGTGCTGGCTGGTGGGAGGAAGGTAATATGAGACAAAAACCCACTGTGTATGCTTCTGGGAAATTGTAGAAGCTTGGGCACCAGTAAGCTAATACATATAGATGGTAGATGTATTTGTGAGCTATATTTCATCCCATCAGAGATGAAGCAGTTTGTGACAGATGGAGTGATATTGTTCCCCTGTACTGCTCATGAGTGCAGCCCCTCCTGCTTTCCCTCCCTGACAGATGTAGGGGGAGGACCACAGTGCACTCTTTTTTCTTTCAATTGATTTGGGTGCTTGAACCCTTAGGGACTGGAGGATGGCGTTGGGATGGGGTGGTGCTAATGGTGATGGGTGTTTAGTCACTTCCTGCTGCACAGAACCTGTAAAAGTTGGAAGCAAGTGCTGTAACAAATTCATAAACGTATTAAATGAATATCACTGCAAACCTGGAGCATACAATTGGATGTGTGTTATGTGCACTGCACCGAGTGGAGCTGGAAGGCAATGTTTCCATAAATCTTGGTTAGTGAGTGACAGCAAAGCATGCACCCAAGCATGTAATGTAGGCAGAGGAGAAAGTATCATTGCATATACTGGTAGCTAAGCCCTATATATTGCTGTCCACAATACTGCAACACATTT